ATTAAGTCAATGGTGTTAAAACACAGCATCCTTAGCGATTGTACTGTTGATTCACATTAGTTAAAACCATCATTTAATTCACAAATATTTGGGTCATTATGAGGATGCATCACAATAAATCTTCTGTTTTCATAATGTCCATTTAAAAAAGAAAAGGTTAGAATTTTGTTCATGTAGGAGAAACAGAGGGTCTTATGTAACCAGACTAGAAAAAAATATGGTATGTGGCTTTCCTTAGTCCTCCATGCTGCCCCTTTTTGTAATGAATGAATTTATTTTGTACAGAAACAAATTCAGTGCTGCTTGTGATACCATCAGTTCAAGTAAAGGAAACCAGTAAGATATGTTTAGCAACACCAAAGGTAACTGCATTTTACGTTTCTCAGTCAGAACAGAAATGGAAATTACTTTTGTAAAACTTACAATATTAAAAGCTCGACTGCAAATTGCATATGTATTTTTAAATGAAAATCTTGACACTATTTGATTAACTCTTCTTAACCCCTTCGTTATTTTTCACCAATATTCATAGTATACATTTATTACATTGTATAAACCACAAGCTTAAAACAGGTAATGGAAAAGAAGAAGAATTAACTTGTCTGTTTTACAAACAAATTTGGAAAATAAATAGTGATGGCAGCTACTCAATTTTTAAAGAAACACTGTAAACATATTTTCCAAGATGTGCTTTCAATTATTTGCTGTTAGGCATTGTCATAAACATCTGAAACATCTTTTATTTCCTATAACAACAATCAGTGTCTATATTCATACCGTCCTCCTTTAAGTAGACTTAATCCAATAAATCAAGAAATGATTTGCCTACACCTAACTTGATTCCAACCCATAAATACATGTGGCACACAGAATAAGCTTAAAATGTCCTTTCTTCCCATTCCCTTATTCTCATTGTTGACTGTCCCAAATCTGCTTCCAAAACTCCACCAAATCACCTGTTTATCAAGCAAAGTTAAATTTATTAAACCTGCTGCTGTAAGAGAATAACCTTTACTCAGTAATGTTACAGAACGCTCATGTTAGGAGCAGATTTTTATAGAATTTTTAGATCTGGACTCACATGGTTTAAGGTAGGTCTTTCAGTGTGGGGCTGGCTCTTACTGGGGTTGGAATAAACTCATAATGCAGTATTTCAGGATGGGTGGACACAGTGAGGTTAGGGTCTTGCAACAAGCCTTGATGTGTAAATAGTAGTTTGTTAACTGAGTGTTTGCCCACGTAAGCAATCTAGTGTTCTGTGAATGAGCTATTTACCCAGATGAGGAAAGTATTTGCTCAGATAAATTGGTTTTAGGAAGTTCCCAAAGCACACAGTAAATATGTTTATTGGTTTCATCCTTTTCTTCCTGGGCAAGAATTTCTTGGAACACATATTTAAGTCATGTTGACCCAGGAGGCCTCAGTGGTCACAAATATCATGGGCACATTTCTGGGGTTCCTTAGAGGAAAGAGAAGGGTGGCAAACTTCTCTTAATTCTTAGAACTATTGGGACCTCAGGATACAGAGCAGAATGGTAGTTGCTTCCTCTTGGGCCAACTCCATTTGTCATACTCCACACTTCATGCCACAAATATAACAATCAGACATTATAAGACTCAATGTCAAAAGTTATCTAAACACATGAAAATAACAGGATTTCCCATCTCCCTGGAATGTCACTGTCTCCATTATGCCTAGTAAAAGTCTACATACCTTTCAGATCCTTCACTCCCAGCCCCTAAAACCCTTGTATTGATTACCTTCTCCTCAGTAACTGAATATACTTATGTATCTTCCACTGAATCTTTATATGTCACTGTAATTATCTGTATCTCTCTCTGACTAGACTTTGAACTCCTTAAGGCAAAACTGTGTCCTATTTATTATTAATTCCCCAGAAGCTAACACAATAGTAAGTGCTAAATAAATGTCTGTTAACAATGAATGAATGAATGAAGTTCATAGATGGATAAACAGGTTGATGGGTGGATGGAAGGACAGATGGACAGATGATTGGAGGGTTTTATGGAGAATTGTAGAAATAGTTTTTCATTTCTTCTTGGGGGAGTGGTAGAGAGATACGGTTCCCAGAACTTTATCACTGATTGTACAAATTGGTTTTTTAATCTTCTTTTTATTCCACAAATGTTTATTAAATATAACGTACAGGCCAAGAACTGTGCTAATGTTTTCTTCACACATTCTTTTTATTTTTAATTTATGTGTCATTATATTTTAAATGAGTTTCTTGTGTATATCATATGCTTTCATTTTTTTTCCTTTAAATCCATTCTGACCATTTCTAGTGTGTTTACACTATTTACATTTCATATAATTATTGATATGTTTGGACCAGGGCTACCATTGTGTTGTTTGATTTTTGCTTGTTTCTTCACTGTTTTGCTTACATTTTATTGGGTTATTGAAACATTTATTGTAATCCATTTTAATTTAACTGTTGTAATTTTAACTATATCTCTGTGCATAATTTTGTTTAGTGTTCTCTCTGGGATTTTTTTTACGTAAATTTAGATCAGTATTTTAACATTTCATAAGAAATGTAGAAACACTACCACTATATTTATACTTCCTTTTATTCTCCACATTTGCTCTATCCATGACTTCCAGTATGGTGTGGAATAGGAGTAATGAGACAGAACGTCCTTGCTTTCTTCCCAATCTAAGGCAGAAAATATTGCATCTATAGTCTGTATCAATTTGAGGAAGTACCCTGCTATTTATTCCTAGTTTGCTAAGAGCTTTTTTATCATAAATGTGTTGCATTTTGTCAAATTCTTTGTGTTAATTGATATTACCCTGTGACTCTTCTTCTTTAGCCTGTTCATTTAATGGATTACATTGATTTCCAAATATTGATCCAAACTGGCTATACATACCTAAAGTAAATCCCACCTCGAAGTAACACAGAATTCTTTTAATACATTGTTAGATGTGATTTGCTAATATTTTGCTAAGGATTTTTACATCCGTGTTCATTAGATCTATTTGTTTTTAGTTTTTTCTTTCAAATAATATTTTTTATCTGGTTTTGGTATTAGGATAATGCTGGCTTCATGGACGGAATTGGGAAGTTTTCCTTCTGTTTCTGTTTAGTGGAGAAGATTGTGGAGAATTGGTATTATTTCCTCCTTAAATGTCTGGCAAGATTCATCAGTGAAACCATCTAGGCCTTGTGATTTCCCTTTTTTGGAAATTTAGTAATTATTGATGAAATTTCTTTAATTGATGTAGGGCTATTTAGGTATCTCTTCCTCCTTGTGTGAGTATTGGTGGTTGTAATCTGTCCACTTAATCTAAGGGATCAAATGATCAAACTTCTAGGCATAGAGCTGTTCATATTATTTCTTTAATATCCTTTGAATGCCCATGGGATCAGTAGTGATTATTCCTCTTTCATTTCTGATATTGGTAGTGTCTATTTTCTTTTTCCTTTGTTAGTCTGTCTAGAGGATTATCAATTTTGTTGATATAGTCAAGAGCCAGTTTTCAGGTTATTGATTTTTTTTCTATTACTATTTTCTTGCTTTCAATTTCATTTATTTCTGCTCTATTATTTATTTTTCTCCTGCTTAAGTTAGGCTTAAGTTGCTCCTATTTCTCTAGTTTCCTAGGTTATTGATTTTAGATCTTCTTCTTTTCTAATATATGCATTTAATGCTATAAGCTTCTAAGCACTGATTTCACTGCATCCCACAATTTTTGATAAGTTATATTTTTATTTTCATTTAGTTCACAATATTTTTATATTTTTCTGAGATTTTCGAGTCATGGCTTATTTAGCATAGATTGTTTCACTTCCAAACACGCCTGTCCATAACATTCTCAAAATGTGTTATCCTTTACCAGAATATAACTCCTCCTTTAAACAAAAGATCAACCTGTCTTTAATGGCCCCAGATATTCCTTATACTCGTTCTACCTGCCTCAGTTGCCTTAATCCATTCTCTTTTTGTCTAGTATTTCTAAATGTTTGCAACTCAAAAATTTTTTAATCCCCAGTTACCCTCAAGAGATCTTTAAATCAACCTTATTCACCTAATTTCTCAAGAGGTTCTCCATTTTTCAGGTTCATAAGTAACTGAATTCATAGGGCTATTCACCAAACAAATTTTAAGTAGATTATTGTAGTTTCAAAGAACAATTTCCACGCTCCTACCCACCATGGCAGGCTATAAGATGTGGTAACCTGGTCCAGCACATTTCCCCAAGGAATGTAAGATACTTTACATGTACCCACAGCATCAGAATTTAGTCCAGAGAATATCAGATGAGGCAGCGCTAATTCTCTTGTTTGCAGCAGTTATCCCTGCTAGGCAAAGGAGGGAGGTGAGCTTGGTAGGTTTGTTCCATGGCAGGCATTTGCAAGAAACAGATCTAATAAACCTTGCAGTCTCTGTCCCCCAAGAGACAAGGAATGATTCATGAGCCAATTTTAGGTTGTGCATGTTCCTTTCTGCCTTTCACATTCTTAAAAACAATGTACCCTTCTGCAGAGAATGGTACACGCTGCCATTTAAGCCCTGTTCCTCTCTCAACACAGTGGAAGGCTAGTGGATGTGGCTTTTCAGGACACTGTACAAAACTATCAGCTGACAAATGACAAACGGATAGAACAAAGATAAAAACTGAATAAAAGGAGAACCTTTTCAACCAAGAGATTCTGAGACAAAGATTACTATTCTGGAATTTTAATGAATTGGTTTCATCATTGACCCCTGGAAAATGTCAAATTTCGCACTTATATGGAAATGGTAGGACACACTGAGGCTTGTTAGCTGCAGTTTATCACACTGAGACTGCTGTGTTATTGTGCTCGCTCACAAGCTCGCTCTCCTGCTCTTGCTCTCTCTCTCTTCCTCCCTCTTCCTCTCTTTGTCTGTCTGTCTCTCTCTGTCTCTATTTCTCTCTATCCATACACACACACACACACACACACACACACACACACACACACACAACCTTTTTCCCCCATTGGTACTGTCAGATCTCATTATTTCCTCTGAAGCACGACAGATGACAACAGAGTTGAAAAATGTGACCAAGTTGGGTTTCAGAAGGGATCCTGTACTAAATTAATGCAAATCTGAACCAGACAAAGACCCACAATAAGATGCAAATCTGGACACAAGATTTCATTTTTAAGTGTACCAAGTAAGAATGGTTTAAAGAGTCCTTCAAGGAGTTATCAAACAGGACCTTGAAATAAGTTAAGCTATCCACTGCCTGATTCCAAATAGCCATTGAAGCCTTACTATATAATAATACCAACATTAATAATAATAATACCAACATTAATAATAATAATAACAATATTATTAATAATACAAGTAGAAATTGTTCCAGTAACCAGCTCTTTGGTCCTGCTCAGCTAGCAGTGGATCACAACACTAATCTTCCTCTCTCTGTTGAGATATCTCATATTCTCTCTCCAAGTCTTTCCTTTTTTTTTTTTTTTCCTTCCTGGAAGGCTTCTTAATGAAGATTTTATAAGTGTAATAAGGATGTTATGAAGAGGCAGGATGTTTAAAATGAAAGTTTTTAAAGCCTGCTTTAAAGCCTGGGCATTTGCATTTCATCCAGACAAAAAACCAGCAGTAGTAATGGCTCCATGTAAAAGCAGGGGATCATTCAGGATCATTGTATCCTTAAGGGGCTTTTAATGGTCCACGTTGCAAAGGCAGTCTCCATCAAAATGGCATCGCAATGGCAGAATTAGACGGACATAGTGTATCCAAAGCTTGCTCAGTATAAATAATGCATTGTAACCCCAGGTAACAATCTTTATCAGCTGAGGGGGGAAAGAAACCAAAGAGTAAAGTAACACCCCTTGGCAGCTTGAAGACACTGTTCAGGCCCTTGAGATAAAGTAACTAGTGAGATGACCCTGGGTGACTCAGGGACCTCCAGGTAAGATGTGAGCAAAGCTCTAAAGCAGTCCACTCAGGTCCCGTAACATTAAAACCATTAAGATAACATTACGGTGAAGAATAAAATATACTATCACCAGCCTAGCTTTACCAGCTGCCACACTGCCAGGCACAGATATAGTGACTTATAAGCGGCCATTCAAATTATTTAAGGGAAGTGAAGTCTCCACTTGTTAACAAGAATATCACTTTAAGAGGTATCTGGCAAGAAATAGACCTACAATTTTAAACAAGATGACCAAAAAAAACCTATAGGCACAAAAAGGCAACATCTTCCAATCTTGTTCTTGAATATTAATCTCAGAATACTTAAGTGAAAGGCTGTCCAGATTTATGTATCACTTATTTTATGTTCCAGAAAGCTGAAGCATAGAGAACAGAAGTGCTTTGCACAAGGATACAAGGCCAAACCAAGCTTACAATCTAAATCTCCTAATGGAGGCCAAATGTTTTCATATTTGATGATGAATTGTATTTGAAGAAACAGTATGCTGATTCTTCTGGGTTAGAAATAAAACCTTCTTGACCTCATGCCCATCTACAAACAGTTTGGGGATATCCCAAGGACAGGGAAGATGTTAGTCCCCCAACAGTGTAAATTTCCTCCCTCATATATCTGAAGTCTCCAGGACACTGGGATTCAAAGTTATTAAAAATTATATGGTGACTTCAGGTGGTGGGAAAGACCCACCATACAAACAATGCCAACACCAAATTTGTATCCCACCCTTCCTCTATCCATTCCCAATTGTCTATATTGTATAGAAAGACTCCTGATATAACAAGTGTCTTTAAACACTCTCCAGATCATATAGCTCCCTTTAGATTCTCTAATTAAAAAAAACTTTTGACATTTTAAAAATGCATTAAATCAACTGCATTTACCACTGTAATTCACCTGAGATTTCCAAAAAAGTAGTCTGTATGTACCAGAGCATTAAACAGCCTATTTTCTCAGGGATTGCACAGGTCCATATATGCCCAATGCCCTCCTCTGTGTTCATATACCAGCCTTTCCCAGTCTTATTACTGTAACAATCTAGAGTCTATAATACTAGCTTATAGAGTATCATATTTCTGCAAGTGCTCAATTGTGCCATATACCTCTCTGAGAGGTTAACATAAGCCCAGGAGCCTCTCAATGTCATCTCCATGCTCCTTGGACATATTTCCATGGTATATCCCACTAAATAACTCCTGCAATTAAGGTAAGCATTTAGAAACATTTTTTTCTATTGTTACCATTGCTCCTTTTTTGTCGTCTTACTCGTCCAGATTTCTCTTGTTTTGCAGATTGAGGTTTTGCCTTACTTACACGACCCTTCTCTTTCCCATAAACCAACCCCAAATAAAAGGGATAAATGTTTGTCTCCTAATGAACCTCTGTATACCCCAAAGTGGCTAAGTGATTCTGGTTTGGGAAAAACATAAAAATAAAACAAACAAAAAAGGTCCCTTAGAAACTGGAAGGAAAGAGTTTAGAGAGTAGGAAAAAATTTAGAGTGGGAATATTCTGAGGCATGAAAAGCTGTCGTGTAAGCCCTGACAGCTGGTTTCTCTTTCTTCCAATGCAAGTGCCTGAATGCAGAGGCATCTACTTAAAGACTGCTATCCTGAATAAACATATTACCAGCCACTGAGTAGACAAAAAGCCAGGCCAACCACTCCTACCCTGACCCCTGGGCTCCCTTATTTTAGAGATCCTGGTTGATTTCTAGAACTGACCATTTGGGCCACTTGGTTTTTTTCTCTTCCCACTCTTATGTTTTAAAGTCTCCAATAAAGAGTGAGCCCTCAAATCCACGCTCCCTCCCTCTATCCCAATAAAAACAACCCCCCTCCCCCGGCCCTTGTGCACTCTCTCTCTTCCTATCCTCATGTGCCCTGTCATTTCCAGGACCTGTAATACACTTTTTTTTTCAAAGATTCCTGATGGTTATTGCCAAGGTTACCTTACAGTCATAATGAGAACCACAAGGGCCAGTGCAGCCACAACATTGGTTATCAATAGGCTAAGACCAGCACAAAACAAAAGCACAACAAAAGCCACTCAAATAAAGAGTAACCGATAGCACATTCTCAGGAAGCCACAGGATCTTGGAGAAAGAATGATTTGGCCTTAGACATAAACACAAATATCCAGACTGAGAGATTTCCCAGGAATATAAAAGTTATCTTTCAAATGTAAAGGCCAACATTCATCTCTGCTCCTGTACCTCTTGGTTACCTAGTCTTGTAGGTTTCTTACCTGTCTAAATATAATTTATATCTTGATCCAGCCTTAGTGGACCAGAGAATGGGGACATTATGGCCTACCAGAAAATGGGGCTTAGGAAGGTGGGGTGCAAGACACATTGCTGATCTCCACCTACAGAAAGTAGAGCTTAAGTCTCTAAAGAATAGAAGAGAAAAATTAGCTGTCAGATGGTGGTAACTTGATTGCATAAACAAAGACAAAATGAAACTTCTATTGCCATTGTAGATGTTGGCCAAGCTTAAAGCCAAGGCTGAAGATGCAGTGAAGTGAGCAGCCCATCCCAGTGAACTTTTAAGAAAAGTTTCATAATATATCCAAACAAGAGGACTGTCTTCAGTAATGTCACTAGTTACTAAGGTAGTTGCCTGTGAGTTGGGTTTTTTAAAATCTTGCTGGAGTGTGAAATGCTGATGTATTTTTCAATGGTGATATCTTTACTGCTAAGAGTGCTATACACTGCCTGCCATTAACTGGCTATTTTGAGCCCTACTGCATTAATGGGTGTTATGCAACAAAGGACTAGAAAGAGAACATAGAAATTTCCACTATTTACCTCAGAAGCTGGATATAGTAAATGGATCATTTCACTAAAAGGGATAGTAGTCATTAGAAATATGAGATAGGAGAAATATAACATCACAAAATGGTTCAAAGTAACGGTAAAAATACCTGGAATTTTAAAAATAATTACTAGAATCGTAATTTGTATATAAGACCAAAAGTAAAAAAGATATTTCTGATCTTAACTCCCTCCCCAAATTTCTCTGTAACTAAGTTAGTCCTGAAAATTGAACTCAGCCAAAATCTAGGACCCTGGAATCATGACATTCTAAAGCCAATACACTGGGCAGGGGTAGTCAATCAATTTTAAAAACTGCATTCTGTTTCAATATAAAAAAAAATTGAAATGATTTTCACTTCTGTATATTTTCCTCTAATTCTTATCCATGGGCACACAAATATTAAATGGTTGTACAGGCTATTTTCATTTATGCTTCCCCCTATATTTATTATCAGATATTATTCCATATCCCTGCATTGCTTTCATGAGTATTGTTTTAATGGTATTACTAAATTTCATCATATTGCTATATCATAATTTATACAACTAGTCTAGAAATGAGATATCCTTTGAGTTGTGAATGGTTAATCAACTCTTGTGAAAACTGAAAATTTAGTTTTTAGAAATTTTCAGCACAGACATGGGGTTGGGGAAAGGGAGGAGGTATCCCTGGAGGTCAGGACAAACTTTAGTAAACAATCCACTCTAACAGTTCTTAGAAAGGATTCAGAACTGCCAAGAGTTTGTGTTCCCTATGTTTCTATACCTCAGCTTTTCTCAAGGATACCAATGTGGTTCAAATCATTTGTACGTTTTATTGCATATAACCTATTACTAATATTAAAGTCTCAAATTTTGAGAAATCCTTTTTTTAAGTAAATAAGAATAGATTTAAGATTATCCTATGATGATGCCTTGAAAACTGCATTCCAGTGAGCAGCTTGAATGGGAAACAAAGGAGGGGTACACTCAGAACTAAGTATTGCACACCTGGACGTGCTATCACACATAAGACAACAACAGCAAAGTTTTTAGGGAATGGACAGCACTACCCTAGATTTTTGCCCTAGTGTTGAACTGATTCATGTCTCATAGGATTGCTGGTTTCCAAGCCAGAGCAGGAGTGCCTTTTCCTATGGATAGCTCTAGAAATTTACTAGGAAATGTCGTAGCTGCCACAATAAAGAGTTCTGCTGTAAGGAGAGAGTGCCTCCAAGTATTCTATAGAATCTTCCTACTTTCAGTGTAGGAAAAAGAAATGGAAGAGGAGGGCTGGACACACCATTAAAACAAGGGTCCTTTCTGATATTGGCCTGATACAGCTCTCTTTTTAATGGTTGTTTGTAGGGGGGAAAAACATAAGCATAAGAAAACATTAAAATATACAAGTGGTTTCCAAACTTGGCAAAGCACTGGAATCATTTGGAGAAGTTTTTTTCCCCACACCCAATGCCTGGATCCCCAAAACAGAGATTCTGACTTAACTTGTCAGACCTTGGCATTTAGACATTTAGAAGCTCCACAGTGATGCTAATGTTGAAGCAAAGTTTGAAAACCGCTGAGATACTGGACCCAGTAAGTTAGTAAATGCATTAATAGGACCAGGTTGCTGACCTCTAATGATTAAGCTACTTTCTGGCCTTGAGAACTGTGATCAAATTAATGCTTCTAAATCTGAAGTACTTAACTGAAACTCATAGAAAACAGATAAGCACAAAGTTCAGCAACACCTCTTTGGTGAAGTATTCATTAGGGAGGACTCTGTCCTTATCTGCCCTGACTAGGTCCAAATAAGATTTGCAGATGAAGATATGTAATTAGGATAAGTGGGTTCTTAGAGAAAGAACATGTTGAAACACTAGAATTAAGACTTTAAGAGAATTTTAAGACAAGAAACAAAGTCATAAAACTTCGATCAAGGGAAGAAAGGGGGTAGATTCACTTTCATGACACTGAGATTTATTTGCTATTAATAGACAATGTTAACAGTGTAGGTTTTGAATATGGATGGATAAGCCTGTTTTTAGACGTTTAAAGAAATTCGTATGTTAAAGAAAACACATACATAGATTTAAGTATAAAAGAGAATGCTTTGGGCATAGTTGTATGATGAGAATTTTTCTCATTCAGTCATGTTAAACATAAGCAGGATTTTTGGTGGGGAAAATTCATAATTTAAATCAAAATAAGATTTGAGCATGAAGATTGAAAGCATATTTCAAAGAGCAAGTTTTATTTGAAGACAGTTACAGCAACAAAATCTAAAGCATGACTGTGTAAAGGTAGTGATATCAGAAGGCAAGAAGCAATATTCAAAGACAATCAACAGAACATGGATATTGGAAAGAGAAAATTCTCCGTCCTCTTATTCCTGAGGTCAGCAAAGCCTGGCATGTTTGCCCCTCAATTTTTCTGGTCTTAAGGACTTTCTTCTCATAGGCTGGTTTATGCAAAAAGACCAGTGAAGGATGGCCCCTAACTAGAAACCAAGAGGGTGAAATAGACTCTGGCAAGCAAACAGAAAGTTTGCTTTTTGCCACAAAAAGAAACTACGAGATAGTGATTTAACCAGTCACCTCTTTTCTCAGTGCAGAAAGACACTGGTTAGAGAATACAATGAAGACTGTCTACCAAAAGAGGAAACATAAGTGGATTCATTGAGCTACATCTCTCTCCCTTTTTTCAATCACAACTAAAAAGACCATATTGGGGGGTAGGGGATGATAAGATAAGACCTATAAATGAAGGTCTAAGCATGTAGCTTTATCTTGTTTTCCATAAATGAAGGAGAGAGAAATATTATGCAGCTGAAAATACAATTTCTTGAGGGGCAAAGTAAAATATTAAGTGATTTTCCCATTGCAAATAAGGCAATTAAAACCATTCAATTTGACAGAGCACTGGGCCCAGTTGAATTGCACCATAATTCATGAGAAAAAAAAATAGTAGCAAAGGAAACAGAGAAGCCTTTGGCAAAACTCTTTGAGAGCTCAATAAGTAAAGAATAAAGGGAACAATTGCATTTGAGTCACAAATAAGCATTCTTAGATTTAAGCAAAAGAAAATCACTGAAAGAACTAGTTTTCCCAACTTCAATTATTAAGCACAAGAATAAAGATTGAGTGCTTAAAGATAAGCACTCAAATCTATGTGTTTGTGATTTATCTAAGAGAATTGGTCTGAATTGAGGAATTTAAAATTTATTTTTATTCAGATTTCCAGAAAGCACTGACAATTTTACTACCATGTCACCTAGTAATACTAAAAACTCACTAATAAACAAAGCACCCTAAATCATCCTGTATATGAGAACT